CCCCCTGAAAAGGAAAGGAGTGGAATTATTGGAGAATCAAGGATTTCCGTCGTTGGATTTTTTGAGGCCCTGAAAAGGGCCCTTGGGCTTAAGGATTTGGCCCTGAAAAGGGCCGATGGGCTTAAGGATTTGGCCCTGAGAAGGGCCAATGGGTTCGTGGATGGAGATGGGATGCTCAGCACAGGTTTTCAAAAAGGCCACCGTCATTTTCTAAGCATAGTTCTGCACGACGAACTATAGCTTGGCGAGCATTCTCCAACTGCTGCTGCGTCAGATCAGCTACTGCTCCATGCAGGCGGGCCACCAAATCCTCCGGATCGTTGACTACCTGCGCATAAATTTTTTCTTTGAGAGTTCCCCAAAGAAAAAAATTTAGGGGCGTCAAATCTGGTGATCTGTGGGAGAAATAGTAATGTGATTTCAAACAGCGCACGATTATTGGAAGATTAGAGATACTCGTCACTTACCGAGGAGGCCAACGAACTGGTCCAGCTCTCCCGATCCATCTCTCTGGAAACCATTGGTTCAGCATTCCGGTGACTGCTCTGGTGTGATGAGCAGGAGCACCATCTTGCTGAAACCACACACCTCTGTTTCCTGGGCCATCTCCGAGCAATTCCGGTAAGGTTTCCTCCAGAAACATCAGATAGTTCTCCCCCTGAAAAAAAAAATCTGGAATGATGATCTTTCAATTGAAAGAAAAAAATTTTAATTATCTTTGTCATGATAAATAATCGATACTTACATTGAGTGGATCAGGAGCTAATCGAATGTGCACCTCATCATTCAAAATTGTACCCCATACATTCAGCCTTTACCACTGGTGCTGGAAAGAATGAGCCCTGGCCAGGTGGGGATTCTCTAATGCCCAATGGTGATAATTGTGCATGTTGAAAATTCCCTGCCTTGTGAAACAGGACTCATCTGTCCAACACACATTGAACAGAAAATGAGGATCGCGTCGATGATTCTCGAGGATAAATCGACAATACTCGATGCGTGCCTCAAGATCTCCCGGCATCAGCTCCTGTGTAGGGCACAAATGGTAAGGGTGGAAGCCTTCTTCCTTGATGATGCGGAACACCTTGGTACTATTCGTATTAAGGTGTCCAGCAATCCTCCTTACACTTGTCGTGGGGTCGTCCTCGATTTCGTTGAGGACTGCCTCTTCCAGGTCATCTCGAGCACGTCCGATAGGACGTCCTTCGCCACGGCAAGGAAGAAGACAACCAGTTGCTGCCATCCGCTCATGAAGGAGAGGAAACACCCGATGATCGGGTGCCCGACGATCAGGGTATCTCTCCCTGTACCTCTCCGCTGCTCGTCTGGCAACCCCACCACACTCACCATACACAAAATACATATCGCGATATTCTCGAGCAGTGAACGCCATTGGCACGATAAAAACTACGAACGGAATCACGAGGCAAAATGATCGGAATGGAAATTGGGCTTCCCTCAAAAACAATACACGATCGTCAGTTGATGTTGTCATGAACGGCGGAGGGGGAAAAAAAGAGATCAAACAATTGACGACGCCTTGTATATGAGCAAAAGAGGGTGTGGGTAAAAGAAAGAGGATAAAATTTGAAAAAAACACCAATAATCTCTGCAAAAGGCTTATTTATTTTCTTTCTTTACAGGTAATCGATTTGACAGGAAATTATTGAATATTAAATGCCCTGGAGGGCGACCACGTGCTTTCAAAAAGTCACTCCTCCGTCCCCAGAAGACGCAAAGGGATGAAACTCGTGTAATTGAATTGAGCATTTAATACTCAATATCTGACACAAGTTTCATTCCTTAGCTACAATTAGGGGGGGTGGGATGAATTTTCAAACGAGACGCGCTTTCCCCGCGCCACTCGTCACCGGAGTTCACTGGAGGGCGACCACGCGCTTTCAAAAATTGACTCCTCCCTCCCTAACAGGTGCTAAGGGATGAAATTTGTGTCACGTATTGAGTATTAAATGCTCAACACGTTGGCACAAATTTCATCCCTTAGTCGCAGTTAGGGTCGGAGGAATGAATTTTTGAATTGAAAAAAAAAATTTTTTTTTCAATCTCCGCAATTTGGAAAATGAATTTGAAAAAAAAAATTTTTTTCAATCTCTTCGCTCTTTCAAAAATTCCCTCCTCCCTCCCTAACAGGTGCTAAGGGATGAAATTTGTGTCACGTATTGAGTATTAAATGCTCAACACGTTGGCACAAATTTCATCCCTTAGCACCTGTTAGGGAGGGAGGAGGGAATTTTTGAAAGAGCGAAGAGATTGAAAAAAATTTTTTTTTTCAATTCAAAAATTCATTCCTCCCACCCTAACTACGACTAAGGGATGAAATTTGTGTCACGTATTGAGTATTAAATGCTCAACACGTTGGCACAACTTTCATCCCTTAGTCGTAGTTAGGGTGGGAGGAATGAATTTTTGAATTGAAAAAAAAATTGTTTTCAATTTCCGCACTTTGGAGAATTCATTTGAAAACAATTTTTTTTTTTCAATTTCTTCGCTCTTTCAAAAATTCACTCCTCCCTCCCTAACAGGTGCTAAGGGATGAAATTTGTATCACGTATTGAGTATAAAATGCTCACCACGTTGGCACAAATTTCATTCCTTAGTCGCACTTAGGGTCGGAGGAATGAATTTTTGAATTGAATTTTTTTTTCCATCTCTTCGCACTTTAAAAAATTCACTCCTCCCTCCCTAACAGGTGCTAAGGGATGAAATTTGTATC